TCTCTCTCTCTCTCTCTCTCTCTCTCTCTCTCTCTCTCCCCTTTTCTGTTCAAATCTCACCAAGATTGAATTTTAAAAAAGATTTATTTATGTATATGACTGCTCTATTTGCATGTAAGCCTGCATACCAGAAGAGGGCATCAGATCCCCATTACAGATGGTTGTGAGCCACCATGTGGTTGCTGGGAATTGAACTTGGGACCTCTGGAAGAGCAGTCAGTGCTTTTAACGTCTGAGCCATCTCTCTAGCTCCAAGACAGCATCTTTTAAGGATGAATTCTAATCCATATAGAAGTCTGTAACACAGTGTAATTTATATCACAAACAATGAGTGTTCATTAACTAAACCACTAGCTTAATCCTCTCAGACTGAGAGATAGAGCACGGGCTTGGGTGAAATGTTTGCTTCCCAAGCCCAAGGACCTGAGTTTGATCCCCAGCACCTATATAAAAAGCTGGGTGTGGGGGAATGTGCTTGTAATCTCAGCCTTGGGGAGACAGAAATAGGAAAATCCCTGTCTCTCACTGGCCAGTCTACCTAACATAATCAGGAAGCTGCAGAACCTAGGACAAGACCCTGTCTCAGAGGGAACAGTGTGTTCTCGAGGAATGGCACTTGATGTTGACCTCTGACCTTTGACATGTTTGTACACACACAGACACACACACACACACACACACACACACACACACACACACTACTACCCACATGCACTCACATGGCCCAGTTCTGGAAAGTTCCCTGTTCCCAGAACTTTGTGTGACTTAGGTCCCCCAACATGAGGTCCGTCCACACAGCATCACATTCCAGGGTGCATCTGTCCACCTACTGTTGCTAGGCACCAGAAATGATGATGCTGGGATAAAATGGCAGCTAAGTATGCTCTAAGGTGTGGCTTCTTGATAGGAAATGCACTCACATTGCTGTGGACCCTGTGTAGGGACTGGATTGCTGTTTATGAACGCGCAGCCCCAGTGGGCGCTGCCCAGGTCTTCCAAAGTGCTTGTGTGAGCTGGGTCGTCTTCAGTAACGCTTTAATGCTTCGATGGCGCCATATTAAAGCTGGAACCTTGGTGGCATCTTTCCCAACCGTTGTCCCCATCAACACTACTCCCTGTGCTGAGCACACACATCAAGGATGAGTCCAACACAGCCCTGCTCTTGCTGGGTTCCCCGGGGGAGTTACTGAGATAGTCAACAGGGACCCCGTGGCAAGTGTTTTAACAGAAGCTAGCCATATTGCTCTGAGAGTTTGGAAGAAGGCCTGGAAGTGTTGGAAGCTCCACGAGGGGATGTGGATGGGCATGAGTCTGATATGCAGGAGTCTGAGGTATCCAGGGGAGAGTGTGCTCCCGGACTGAGCTCTGAGCATCACTCTCAGTCCTCTCCCCGAGTCCTTGTTGCTCTGTTGAGGCAGCTCTCTTCCATGTCCTCCTATCCTTTCCTGTCTTTTCCTTCCCCGTGCCTTGTTATCTGCTCCCAGCTGTGTCCCCTGCAGCATCACAGAGAACTCTAGCCTTTGCTCTGCAGTCCCTCCTGGTCGGACTGTCCCTAACCCCTGAATTCCATAGCTATGGCAGACACCCGGGTCCCTGCTTCTTTTCTTCTCCCTGGTCTTGAGCCCCGCCCCAAGGCTCTGATGTGGCCCTGGCCTTCCCTTCCCCTCAGTGCAGGCACTGGCCGCACAGGCTGCTACATTGTCTTGGACGTGATGCTGGACATGGCCGAGTGTGAGGGGGTCGTGGACATTTACAACTGCGTGAAGACCCTGTGTTCCCGGCGGGTCAACATGATCCAGACGGAGGTTCGGACCAGCCCTGTCCCCAACCTCTCCCCTCCATTTAGGTCTCTGTCATGGAGTAACACATCTGCAGGGCATCCTAGGTCCTTCCTTCCCCGGCCGTCTCAAACATGGCTGGGGTTGGGGTTTGGTGGATGAGGGAAGTTCTTAGGTCTCTGCAGACTTCAGTGTTGTACAGGCGAGACAGGTGGTGGGAGGGGGAGGTGAGGGGGAGCAGTCTAGAGTCACATGTACTAGGGTTTGTGTCCTTACTAGACCTGGGACCTTGGACTGTCCCTCGCCACTCAGATGATCTGGGAATGTTCCCGGGTGCACTAGAGATGAGCCGAGGTGGTGGTTGAACTCAGTCTTGGCCTTCTTTGTCCTTCATCTTCTGCAGAGCTTTCAGTCCCCTCCTCATTCTTACATTCCTGTCTCCTGTTCCAGGAACAATACGTCTTCATCCACGATGCAATCCTGGAGGCCTGCCTGTGTGGGGAGACCACCATCCCTGTCAATGAGTTTAAGGCCACCTACAGGGAGATGATCCGCATTGACCCTCAGAGTAATTCCTCCCAGCTTCGGGAAGAATTCCAGGTACGGGGAGGAGTATGTGTGTACAGATGTGGAGTGTGTGAGTATATGTGTAAGTTTGAGGGTATATGTGTAAAGCTGGGTTTGTGAATACAGGGGCATGGCTGTGTGTGTGTGTGTGTGTATGTATATCTACATATATGTATATATATATATATATATGTATGTAGGTGAGTGGGCTGTGGGAGTATATATAGGGTTGGGTGTATATGTGTATAGGAGTGGAGTTTGGGGTTTGTGAGTATATGTATAGGTGTGTGAGTGTGTAGGTGTATGAATGTGTAGGTGTGTGAGTGTGTATATGTAGGTGTGTGAGTGTGTGAATTCTGAGGGTCCGAGGTCTGCCTTTCTTCCTCTCCCATTACTGCACACAAACAAGTTTGTGCCACCAAGCAGGGATGCCAGCTTTTTATTTTTATTTATTAAACATAGGTTCTGGGGGTTGAACTCTGATCCTTATGCATGCAAGGCAAATACTTTGGCAACTGAGCCATCAACCCAAATTACCCCCCTTTATATATAGCCCTGGCTGACCCCCAGTCTCAGGGTAATCCTCCTGCCCCAGCCTAATGCTAGGATTACAGACACATCCCATGATGCCTGGCTTCTGCCTTGGCTCTGGCTTCACACTTGAACCTGTACCTGGCCTGCAGCTGTGCTAGGCTGCTTTGCTCTTGTTGCCCCTAATGGCCCCAGCAAAACACTAGTCCAGATCCCACACAGCTAACCTTAGTTGTCCTGGAACTCACTCTGTAGATCATAGTTCAGGCTGGCCTTGAATTCACAGAAATCCTCCTGCCTCTCTGCCTCTTCCTCTTGACTGCTGGGATTAAAGGCGTGTGCCACCACCGTTAGCCCACACAGCTATTCTTAAACCAGGCACTGGGATTAGAGGAAGAGTCCATGATAGACCCAGTTTCTGTTTTGGGTGGGGCTAGGCTCATCATGCTGCAGGCTGCTCTCCAAAGGAATCTGTTTTTCTCTGGGTACCAGAGACACAGGGGTTCCCTCCACTCAGAGTTCCCATGTTTCTTCAGCCATATGGCACCTGTCGACTGGCACATTCTGGAGCCAGCATAGGGTTACCTGGGAAATGTGATTGGTGATTCCTGGAGAGGGGTATCAGCTTTGGGGATCATGACAGACTTGGGATCCTGGGAGGTATCCCTAAGAATAAGAGAGAAACTAACACTCCAGTATCCCAAAACCAAAGGTTCAGTGTAGAGATAGATGTCATAGCCCTGGCTGAACCTGTACCAGGCACTCAGGGTCACATTCTGTCTTGACAGAGCTGGGACCAAGGCTTCTGTATTGTGCCCAGGGTTGTCTCCTGGGAAGAGGTGGAACTCAGGCTTGCATCTTTGAGACACTGACAATCTAAGGCTGCTCCTCACTGGGCCTGCCACATGTCGAGCCCTGGTGCACCAGGCTCTTAGTGCCTGGCATGATCTCATTCGACTTCCCAGGAAGCCCTGTGAAAAAGGCACACCAGATTCCCATTTTACAAGGGAGAACATTAAGTCACTTATCTAAGCCCACACTGGCTCAGGGAGACAGGTGCTATTCCCAAAGCGCAGTCTAGGCCCTACATGTCCTGGTGATGGGCAACTTGGCTCCCTAACTTCTTTTTCTCTGAGCCTCAGTTTCTTCATCCATAGCACAGAGTTAATTATCTAACCTAAGATCCTTTGAGGAGGCCCTGAAATGACCTGCTCAGTCTTCTCTCTCTCTCTCTCTCTCTCTCTCTCTCTCTCTCTCTCTCTCTCTCTCTCTCTCTCTC